TTCCACAAAACTATAATTAGTCAGGGTTGTACAAATTGTGATGCGGGTCTTAAAATAAAAAGTATATTGGGCAAGAAGGAAGATCATTTCAAAAACAAATTCATGAACACTTTGTCATTAAACAACTGATCTCAAGTACACGTCGTATTTAATAAAAAAAAAGCATGCTCTTTTAAAAATTAATGTATTACAAACTGAAAGCAAAGACTACAATTTAATCTTATTCTTGTTAGAGTAGAAATTAATAAATCTAAACACAAAAATCTACTCTTAAACAAACAAATGGAGTACTTTAGGAACCTATAGTCAATATATACTATAGAATTGTATGTTTTAGAACTATTGTATCTTCTAGTTTTACGGAAATTCGAAGATTAACTCATTAATACGAAAGAATAGAGGTGCGTGTCCAACCAGCCTTAGGACTGACGACATTATGATGATGGTGTTTTTTTAATAGGATTTAAATTAATTTTTCTGTAAACCACAACATCACTTAATTTTTTATCTTGCAAAAGGCTTCTAGATAACGAGAACGAAAGAATCGCTAACTATCATTTGTTTCTGCCGAGCACACACCTATTATTAAAACAATGTATTTTAATTAATTACCGTAAGCATCATAATCCTTCTGTTAACAAAAATAGGTTTTATGACAATTCCTATTTGATTAAAAAGACCAATTTGCCACATACGAACCCTCTTCGCTGAAATATTCAGAAATATATTTACACAGAATACACTAGAAGAATTTAAAATTTTTAAAATAGGTACAACATCGAAGAACGTTTGATAGCTTAGTCGTGTGGACTGCAGTTAAAACCACTACACTATAATAAGATAAACCACCGTCATTATGGGTTAAATAAAATCTTTAAAACATTCAGATTTATTTGTGTAGAGAACCGACAACTTCCATAACACGTCAAACTCGCCGTGTAATTTATTATGAGGTACGAGACGCCGTTTTTATTACACTTAAAATTCGCTCCAAGACGAAAAGGATTTTCGAAGTACAACGTTTTATTGAATCAACCACTGACAACGAGAATGTTACAGCTTTAATAGCTACTAAAGCATAAAATGTTCATAAAAGGTTTACACTGTCCAAGCTATCAAATGGGCACAGTGCTCATAGCTTAATTTTCTGAGGACATTTCAATTTATTGGACTGAAGGAAGGATAATGGTTAACATTAAACCAAAAGGCATGTAAAGCAGTCGCAGCATAACTAATTAACTAACCGTAACATTTTTCACATTTCAGGGATATATTGTGTATGTAGTAGGTGTATAATATGCGATTAAAAATACACACATCATACGTACGAACATTTGCAAGATCATTTTGTTGAATAAAGCTGGGAATACATTACCATTCGTTCGCATTTGTTTGCGTTGCTGTCATTGCTAGTCGTTCGCAGACATTCGCGGCAACGTTACTGGTTAGAACGAACTACTCTCGCTTATTGATGTTTATTAACATTCCATCACGTTATATTTTTTGAGATGTGGATATCAGTCATCATCATCATAAGGTCATCAGTCTTAAGACTGGTTGGACACGTACCTCCACTCTTTCCTATCCTGAGCTAAACTTCGCATTTCCCAAAAAATAGAACAACCCACATCCTTAACTATTTGCGAAGAGTAATCTAATCTAGGTCTACCTCTACCCCTCCTAACTCCTGTTTCTGCCTCTAATATGTCTCTGACTAGACCTTCATGCCTGAGAAGGTGTCCTACCAACCTA